AAGTTGTCAGTGCCTTTGAACCTGCTCAGCCAAGGAGCAAATCAGCAAACCCTGTGAGGGAAAATAGCTCCGTTCAGCTCTGTCCAGGGCAGAGATGTGTTTGATTAAATCCACGTGTTAATAAGCTTTTTCACAGCTTTTTGAACATAAAGAACCTTTTGCTCCAGTTCTCTGCAAATCTGAGAGCCAACATGGAAACCAAACCCAAACTCCTGTGGTTTCACAGCTCCTAAACACATCAGCAGGAGTTAACCTCAGATCCAGAGGGATGGAAGCACAGGAGATGCAGCTCACAGGACCAGCCCTGCCCTGGCTCAGCAGCACCAAGGGAAGCACCAACACACCTTGGGATGTCAGATGTGCCCGAGCAAAGCCCCAGGTGTGATGTCCTGGGCTGGTTCCTCATGTGCTTTGGCTGGACACTGTCAGACAAATGAAATCAAACCCCTGTTTTAATTGTTCTCTTCTTGAAGGTGCTTGCTCAGAGCTATGTGAATTTAGGGATGGTTACAAGAAGAGAAACAGGTTTGAACCTTATCACTTGAAATGAGAGAAAATCAGGACCAAGTAAGCCCTGGGAATCCATTTATACCCCACACTCAGCCCTGCCCAGGAACAGAAGTTCCAAAGATTCCAGAAATTGCTGCTCAAAAGAAGGGAAGAAAACCACAAAATGAGCTGACAGCTTCGGAAATGTTTTCCCAATTCCCGTGTCAGTCTGGTTATGTACTTGGAAGTTTCTGATCCCCATATAATCCAGCTGGGGACATTTTAATTACACAGACAAGTGCATTTTCTGCTCAGCCCAGGCCCATAATGACACCCTTCAGCCACAGCTCAGCACACTAAAGGCTTGTTGGGAGGGAGCAAATGGATGTGTTGGAGCATCCCACATTCCAAGCAGCCATTGCAGACTTCTCCCCAGTACTTTTTTAAGCAAACTTTGCTGTGGGATCACAGAAAGTTCTTTGAAAACTCTATCCCATGGTGCTGCAGCTTTTCCTCCCCAGCAGAGCTGCTGATAAAATCCTGTGAGCATCCTTGCTCCGAGCACATGTCCAGAGCAGTTTTGCAAGGGAGAAGGGCATTATCCTAAAAAACCTGAATATATAACTTCTCTTCACATCCCTACTTGGATCACCCAGGAGAGGACAGATTGCAGCTGCTCTGGTTGTTTTGGCAGTTCACTGCCTTCCCTTGTGGGAACAGGGATAATTATCATGGGACAACTGTCCAACACTTGTGAAACATCAAATGTGGATCTTCCAAGGGAAGGAACAGCCTTGCACATCCCACCTGTCCCTGCTGGATGGGGGAACCTCTCCCCATGAGCTCTGTGAGCATCAGAGGATCTGCAGGGCAGGAAGAGGCCAAACAAGTTTGGGAGGAGGTGGCAGAGTGCAAGATCACTGACCTCTGATGAACCCAGAGGCCGGGGAGACACACAGGTGCTCCCCACACACCCAAAGCTCTGGGAGCAGGGAATGGCATCTGCTGCATTCCCAGGCGATACACAGCAAGAAGAGACTGAGCCCCACTGAAGCTCACAGGGCTTTGGGTCAACAATCCCAAAACACTGGCACAAAATATGATGGAGCTTCCTCTGTCTGCTGGAAAGGAACTCGAGGAGAATCCCTATTTTCCTGCTTGAACATAAACACTATAAATATTTGACAACATCAAGGAATTCTCTGCTAAGCAAAAGGTGACTTACCCAAATGGAAACACACTGAGCCAAGAAATCTCTTCAGAGAATTTGGTGATTGGTTTGGTCCCACCTGGGGCTGAGCTGATCTACAGCTCACAGATGATACCACACTCCTGGCACCCAGATCTGCCCACATTTTAGATTTGATCAGCAGAATTTAATTTTTCACAGATCTTGCTAAGCTTTGCTGTATGACAAGGGGAAGAAACCCATCCTGGCAGTCCTGAAGCAGATCCTGTCAGACACCCTCTCCCCCTTCCCCAGAGCCAAGGCTTTCTCTCCCTTCCACAGCTGTCTCCAGTTAGACTACATGAATCAGCTTATTAGATAATGACCTAATTGCACATTAGCACAGAAACAAAACACTTAAACTGTCACTTCACATTTCCAAGACAACTAACTTATTTTTTGACACAGTCCTCAGCCAGTCAGGGGAACTCAGAGATCCAAACCAACACAGTCAAGGGCATGGAAGGTAGACAAGTTGTGTATTTTAATTCCACCGTTTCCATTCTGCTGCTTTTCTCTTTGAATCTGTTGAAACCACTGATGTCTGTTTGGTTTGATCAGTGAGAATTTCCTGCACTAAATGCCTGTTGATGGCTGATAACAACCAGCGTAAGGTTAAACCTCTAAAGAATTAAAAATGGCTTGAAGGATAAACTTCTCACAGGTAGGATAAATTCACTACTCCTTGAATTCATACAGTGCTTCCCAGGTGGCAAAGTTAGAGGTTTTCCTTCCTGGAATGCCAAGTTATTTCAGACAAAAGGGATATTCTGTCCCTGCTTCAGATGGGAAAATGGACTCAACCAAATCCTGTGAGCATAATCCCTAATGTCAGCCCTGGCATGGGCAAAAGCTTCTTGGAGGAACCTACTGTCAAAACTGGGGACAAGAGCAAAGGAAAACACATCTCTGGGAGAGCTCAGCCTGATCTCTCCCCTCTGCTCCCACAGCTTCACTCCCAAAAGTGACAGCTCCGTTTGGTGGCAAAGCTTCTGCCAACAGTTCATCCCCACAAGCAGAAGTCACTCACAGGCTCTGAGAATCCTCTGCAGGATTGCTCCAAGTGTGGTTTATTCCTCTGGGTTTGGGGATTATTGCTGGGAGTCTCCACAACGGCACTCCGGCTCTGTAAACTGATCCTGGAGCTATGTCCAAGCTCTGGAGAGATGAGCTGGTGATGATCTGCTCCTCAGGAAAACACCATCCTTAAACAGGAAACCCAACAGCAGAAAAAGGGCCTTGTTAACTCTTGGGGCCCTGAGGCTCTGGGAGTAGAACATATGGGAGGAATTACAGGAAGGCACAGCAGAGCAGTTTGCTGTGGCCACAGTGCCCTGGGAACACTCTGCCTTACTCTACAACACTCGTTTTGTATAATGTGACCCAGAAAAACAGCAGAAAGCAGCGTTTTCTTGCAGTGCTCAGTTCTGCCTGTCATGGCAAACAGGCACTCTGAACTGGGCAGGTGAATTATTGCCTGGATTCCAGGCAAAATCAGGATTTCCAAACCTTTAGGGTTCAACTTGAGGCAGGTGAGAAGTTTTCTTCTCTTCTAGTAACTTAAAACAGTGACTTTTCCAACAGATTCTATATATTACTGTTGAAAGTTGGTTCCTGAATTTCAAGACCAGCACTGCAGACCTTTAGAAAAGTAAGTTACACATAACTTCTATCTAGCGAAAGTATGAGAGTTTTCCTTTGTAAATTCTTGGAAAGCCCTCAAAAAAATCTACTTTGGTAGAGACTACAGTCCAACCTCCTCAGGAGCCAATTCCTTTGTTCCTGGTTTGGAATCAAGGGCTGCATTTATTCATTCCTGGAGGTTGCTGCTCCCTTGGCTTTGGATACAACCCCTTGGATCTCCCTCTCCACGGGGGATTCAGACCCTGGCCCTGCCCTCAGGCAAAACACATGTTCCACTCCAGCCTGAGTCCAGCCAGGGAATCATTGTTTTATGTTTCTTAATCACCTGCATGCAAGGAGGTGTCAGAGGACACTGCAGGCAGGTTCCCAGCTCAGCCTGGAGGTGAGACCTCTGACTCCTCCACTGTGATATGCAGTGACAAAACAGCCCCTCAGCTCAGCCCCTCTGCACTGAGGAGCTTGAGGTGAGACAAGAAAACTGCAAAAACACTCAGCATCAGTGGGGAAACAAGTTAGAGCTGCTGCATTAAGCTGAGGGAGGGCAAAGGGTGTGGAGCTGCAAATTTCTGGGGTGCCATTAGGGAAGTCTCAGTGTCCTCCAGTTCTCCCCCATCCCACAAGACAGGAACACTTGGTTTTCCAGGCTGACACCATGTAGGGGCAGAAACAAACACTCAACCACACAACTGAGGCAAGGCCAGAGAGTTGGGTCTGTGACTTCCCACTCCCCCTGGGAACTTGGCTGTTGTGCCATGACACAAGTAATAGTCTACACACCCATCCTCCTGTTTCCAAGATTCTTTTCCCAAGCTCATTCAAGCACAAAGTAAGCACCCAAAGCACTTTTAACACAGTTCAAGTCCCAGTAAAAACTTATCTCGGAAGAATCACTTCTGGGCAGGCCACAAGTATCAGCCACGTGAGGATTCTCCAAGGTTGTTCCAGGCATGGGTTTGTAGGGAAGCAGTATCTAGAGCCTGGAGGGACCAGGGAACACTCTCATGGAAACAAGGCTCCAGCTAGTCCAAAGATTTCTAAGTGCTGCAGTTTTGTTTCTCACTGAACCGTTTCCATGGACTTAAATGCAGAGATGCATCAATTCAGAAATGTCACACAATTGACACATCAGTTTCTACTTAAAATACCATTTACTTTCTATTTAATGAGCTTCTGTGCCAGCAGAATGTGGCTCCTTCCAAGCCACAGACCCACAACCAGCTGAGCTGAAAGTGCATTTGAAATCCATTCTGCTGGAAAAAATCTTTTCCTTCACCTTTCACTTGGATGGAAACTAAATGTATCAAAGGCCAATTAAGTCTCTGGAAACCTGATTGTTGTTTTATAATGCAAACAGTGGAAACACCTTCAGGAAAATCAAGTAGATGCTGCTTCTCTGGCATGGAACACTTGCCTGGGGTTTGCTGAGCTTTAGTGATGAGAAGGGACAACAGCACACGGTCACCTAGAAAACACAGCACCAGGTTTCTACACAGAAGAGACCTGGAGAGCAGTGAAATCTCAGCAAAGGAAAGATAAAGATCCTGGATGTGCACCCAAGAACTGTAAATCAAATTTTACCCTCACTGTGGGTTTACCTAAACCCTCTCAGGGAGGATCAGTGCAATGAAAAGACAGAACCGGTTAAATAAATGTCAGACTTTATTGGAGCTCCCACTGAGTCCATGACTCGTGTGCTTCACATGGATACAAAACAACCCCAAAGGTGAAAAGAGGAGACAGCTGAAGAAAGGCGTAGGGGGCTAGGACACCACTTTTGTGAGAGGGATGTTGGGCATGTCGTGGATCCCCTCCTTGTCGATGAATCGCGCGTTGAACGAGGTCAGGTTCAGGATGAAACGTTTCTGGAGCTGTTCAGCAAAGACAGAAACACAGAGAGATGAGACTCAGCACTGAAACAGAAGAGGATAATTGGAGAGAGGTGGTGATGCACATCAAAACTCCCATCCTGGTTCTAGTGGAGTCAGAGAATCGTCAGGGTTGGAAGAGATAGAGTCCAACTGTTAATCAAGTCCAGCTGTTAATGACCTGAAAGATTAGGAACTCAGTGGGGTTTTCCCTGCTCAGGAATGAATTAGTGTGAGTTCATCCTCTGCTGTAAGACAATCCATGCCAGACAAGCCTAGGCTAGAGAGGCAAAATTTCAGCAGG